GCTCTGGAGCAGAGGGAGCAGAGGAATTAGTTAATGGGGGTCAGAATCCTGGGGAAAGCAGGCTGGCCTGTGGTGCTGCGGGGCGTCTCTTGGCAAAGCCTCTTAGGAGCTGTATCGAATAGTAAACGGTTTTAGAACGCATTCATTTGGTGAGAAGAGGAGCGGAGTGTGGGCTGCGTGCTGTGGGCCCAACGTGGGCGAGCGCGTTGGGGTTCCAGAGAGACCGAGGTGGGAGGGTGAAGGCACCTGGGTGGGTAGTGGGGAGGAATCCTGCAGGTGTCTCCTTCAGGGAAGGGAAAGTTGAAAGGGAGCCCTGGATGGATTTTAGAAGAGTGGAAAATAAAAGTACTGACCTGTTAAAAGAGTTGGAAGGGAGCTTTTGCTTTGTATTGTTTGTGACATGCTACAGCTTTGGGTGGGGGGACAAGAGAGTTAACCCCACGTTATGCCAGGACCAGACAGTAAGGGGGCTTCCTGTGTAGGTGGCAGCCAGCAGAGCTAAAGACATTTCCCTGACCTCTGCTTCTCCCCACTGGGTGGGCGTTGTAGGAACATGAGGCCTGTCTCCCAGCTTTTCAGTGTGTGGGGGTTGGGGTGGGGGTGGACGTGAGCTGAAGGGCCAGTGGATTTCGTAGAAAACTTGTTCCAAATTGCCCGTCAGATCCCGACTCCAGCTTTCCTATTCGCCCCTCATGCCCACCTTCTGGATTTACTTAGAGACCAAACCGGAGCCCCAGAAAAATGTGAGGGGGTTTGAGTTTAGATAGTGCATGAGTGGCTGAGATGGATCTAGACTCCACTAACCTGGAGAGTCACCCCATTGAGACCCCGTTTACAAATTATTTAGGCAAGAGAAAGTCAACGTAGGTGTTGAAAAATGGCGAAAACAACCACAGAAATTACCTCACTGCTGTGGAGTCCGTTGCGAATCATAGTGACCCAACAAAGGGGTTCCAGGATGTAAATCTTCTTTCTACTGGTCCTCCCTTCTGCGGACTCCAAAGGCTGGATGATTTGAACTGCTAACTCTACACTAACCGCTAGCACCACCAGGGCTATCCAACAAAACAAAAAACAAACTGGCTGCCATCGAGTGGGTGCCAACTCATGGTGAGCCTATAGCACACAGCAGAACTGCACCCGTGGGGCGGGGACACTGGCAATCTTCGTGTGAGTAGACAGCAGTGTCTTTCCACTGGGTGCTTCAGAATTGCTGACCTTCCTTGGTGTCAACAGCTCACAATGCTGCCAGGGCTCCTCACTTGGGCAATTAGGTTTCTAGAAATTGAAAATAAGTTGCATTTTAGAGAAGAGGGTGATAAAAATGGTTTTCTAATGTTTTGACCTGGTTTTAATTTGTTCCGTGCTTTGTGCAGGGAGGAACGTTGAAAGGCACAGAGTAACGAAAATGATTATTAGGTTTTGCTAAAAAAGACTGTTAGCTATTGGAACTCTCCACCCTCAGGTTTTTCTTCCATCTTGAAACGATTTGAAAGCTGCCATGATTTTCACTTGCTCTTTTACATTTGTCTTTTGCACCATCCCCCCTTTAAAAAGCAAAGTCGCTATGTTTAAATTCCCTATATTTGAAAGCATGATTTCGCCCATTCTCTCCTCATTCCTTTCATCTAACTTGTATTTATTCACTCTAAGCTGAGCAAATAACCCAAGAACGTGGCCTATATGAAGAGGGACACGGCATCAGGATTGGAAGAAAACTCATTAACACTATGCGATATTTAATATTTGTTATCCCCACCTTCATTCAAACGCATCTGCTGCTGTTTGTTGGTCTTCCTTATTCATTTGTCCAGCTTTTGCATGCATATGGGTTCATTGAAAATACCTCGGGCGAGAGTCAAGCACACAAATGGTGCAAATTATCTTGCTGAAGGGGCTGAGCCTTGAAGCATTTGCTGAGGAAACTCACAGATCAGTCCTCAGTATGGGTTACACATGTGCAACATAAAGAAAACAGAAATCCTCACCACTGGACCAATAAGGAATGTCATGATCAAAGACATGATTTTACTTGGATCCACAGTGAACACCAGTGGTAGCAGCAGTCCAGAAAGCAAATGGTGCATTGCATTGGACTGAGATCTCTGTAACGTGGTAGAAAGCAAAGCTTTCTCTTTAAGGAGCAAGTTGAACTTGACCCAAGCCAAGGTATTTTCAGTCACCTCATAGTCATGCAAAAGATGGGCAAGAAATAAGGAAGACCAAGGAAGAGCTAATGTTTTGAACATAGGTGTTATTAAAGAATAAAAGTATATTATGAATGGCCAGAAGAACAGATCTGTCCTTGATGAAGTACAGCCAGGCTGCTCCTGTGAGACTTCACCTCCCCGTGTACTTTGGACAAGTTGACCAGTTCCTGCAGAAGGACATCATGTTTGTTAAAGTAGAGGGGCAGCAGTGGGGAAAGGATCTTCAATGACATGAATTAAATGATAATTGGGGGGGGGGGCAATCTAAGAATCCCTCTTCAATCTCTTTAGAATTGCTTGGTTTTATCTGTTAAAATCCATGATGAAGAAATTATAAAGAAAGCAGAAAAGACAGATTAGTTTCTCCAGTGCTCAGCATCTGATTCTCCCACACTTTGGATGTCTCTGTCTCTGTATCATGGACCTGCTGATTCAGAAATTAGTAATGGAGTGTGAAAAACAAGAGTGGGGCATTAATGAAAGATGCCAGACTTTCACCTGGGTGGCATTGCAGGCGAGCATTATTTTATAGCCAGTGATCATGGATACCAAGGCAACATCCTCTACTTCTCAGAGCCCCCTTAAAAGAAAACCTACCCAGAGTATGTTCTCAATAACCTGGAAATGCTTGAAGGGCCATGTGAGAGTTGACATCATCGAAAGATTGTTTGTTGGTTTCAATGGAACAGACAGTTCAAATCCATCAGCAAGGTTCTGAGGAAATAACCAGACTGCTGGATAATAGAATAATGTGTCAGTCCTAACTACAACACTCCGTGGGACTTCCCTGCCAAGAAAGACAAGCCAATAAATTCATTAGAAAACAAAGAAAGGTTTATTTGATTATCAATAGAAACATACCTCTTTAGACAGGTCATTTTGTTTTGTTCATTTTGGGTATAGTGACCACTCTGGGAAAGCCCTGGCGGTGCAGTGGTTCTGCGATAGACTGCCATCTGCATGGTGGGCAGCAGAGACTGAACCGTCTACCCCCATAGACAGTTACAGTCTGGGAAACCCACAGGGGGTAACTGTGAATCAGCACTGATTAGATGGCTGTGAGTGAAGTACTGTGTTTAGTGATAAAAAGCACATTTTGGGGAAGAACAGAATCAAGAAGAATATAAATCAAGGTTTTAAAGGAAAACATGATGAGCCCTAGCTGACCCTCAATGGACAGCAAGTTCAGGCTGGGTCTAACGGTTACTGCTTGTGAAACATATTTTCTTGAGTTGATTGCTAACAGTATTGGGAAGTACAACGCCAAAGTTTTTTATGGTCTTCCAAGAGTTTATGTTTCCCTGATGCCTTGGAGGGATACAAGCTTTCCTTTGACAAATTCCAAACCTTCTGCAACTGGCTGCGAGGGAGAAGTTAACGACGCACACCTAAGTGTGCCACATACCAATGGTTAGTGTCAATTCCTATGTTTAGTATTAGTAACAACAACAGTGTTGGGCTAAGCTGCAGGTTTCCTTTTCTGGAAATTTCCTTCCTGCCCTGCAAAGACTGTACATACTCAACACGGACATGATGCTATCTCCAGTCCATTTAAATATGATATCATGAGATTGACTAACCTGTATTTTAAAAATAAAGACTTCTTCAGATGTATACAGTGGTGTTTGTTAAATCACGTAGAGATCATGTAAACAACAGGCGAGAAACAAAATAGTCTCCACCCACACCCTCTGCGAAAGCTCCTACTTTTGGTTCCGTGTTTGTACTGTAGCCTTCCAGAGCACACTAGCTCTTCGCACTTGCTGATGGAGCATTTCTCGAAATCTCCACCACCCTGAAATGATCAACTAAAAAGAGACCACGCCTAGAATGTTACAGCACAAACCCAGCGCCCAGGCCTTCAACTCAGTTGCCCGGAGAGCAGAATTCTATTTGTTCAGCATTTTGCTCAGTTTTGCGGAAAGAAAGCCGTTTCAATTTGTCCTCAGATTTGCACAGACGTGACCAACACCCAGTAGCCTTAGCTGGACTCCTGTAGCACTCTTTTAACTTTAATAAATTCAAGAGGCACTTGTGTGGTCTCAAAGATTGTCCGGATGAAACGAGGCTGAAATGTCCTGCGAAGGGGGAAGGGCAGGCCTGAATAGCGGCGGCGATGATGGTGACCGAGGGGCCGAGCCTGTCCAAGGCGTGAACTGTCCCAAAGGGTCAAACTGTTCATCTCCAGCCCCTCTTTCAGTGTGCAGTCCTACTTTAAGGGAACAAAAGCTCAAAGCAGGCAGTTATCAAGAAATGGGAACACAATGATTTAAACTCATCCCCTATCCTTACTTGGAAAGAAAGCCAGCCACCACCCCCCACCCCCACCCCAGTGCCTTGTAGCGAGAGAGAAAAAAAGTGAAGTCAGGGGAGGGGTGAAGGGGGTGGAGATCTTTAGAAAGCTTTTGTTGCTTCTAAGAAGCTTGAACTTTGAGATGACCCCAAAAAAAGCTCTAAAGTTTAGGGTAGGTGTTACTGCGGGAGCCATAGGGTACATCCCATCCACACTTCGACCTCACAAGTGGCCCGAGAGTTACACATGGGCCCCTTGCCAGAGTCTTGCAGTGGTAGGTGAGTGGAGGAGGGATTGGGGTGGGGGTGCAGACAGCAGGAAGGAGTGCACCCTTCCCAGAGAATACCCAGCGCTATAGAGTCCATTACAACTGGCTAGTGACCCTGTAGGATAGAGTCCCGCGGCCCCCCCGCAGTGGTTTCCAAGGCTGTCGATCCTGAAGGAAGCCAACTGCAGCGTCTGTCTCTGGAGCAGCAACTGGGGCGTTCGCTTGGCAGAGCCCCAGCCGAGGGCTTTTCACCGGTGCGCCACCAGGGCCGTTTCCCAGACAAGAGCCAGCTTTGGGCTGCCCAGCCAGCCTAGTTCAAAACGCCCCAATTGGCGGCCACCCGCCCTGGCTGCCCGCAGGGTGAGCCCTGGAGGCGCGCTGGGTAAGCGTTGGATGGCTAGCCTCCGCTTTCCCAGCCCTTGGGAGGGTGGGGTGGTGGGAAAAGATGCGACTCTCGGCTGTCGGCTAGACGGACAGCCTCGGAAAGTCTAGCGAGGGTCGCGACCAGGCAGAGTTGACCCCATGGCAGGGCTTGGGGGGAGACGAGTCCCGGGAGCGGGCGCCTCTTCGCTCGGCCGCAAGGACAGGCTCCTGCGTCGGCCAAGAAAGGGCTTTCTTGCAGAAAGTCCCACGCTCTGGGTGCGCACTCTCCAAGAGACCGAGAGGTGGTGGCGGCAAGGCAGCCAACTCGAAACTTCTCCCGTCGTGCTCAACTCCACTTCCCCGAGCTCGGCGGAGCAGAGGAGGCTGCGGTGCAGTAAGGAGCTAGAGCAGCGGTTCTCAACCTGTGGGTCGCGACCCCTTTGGGGGCGGAAGGACCTTTTCTCAGGGGCCGCCTAAGACCATCGGAAAACACATAAATATTTCACAATATAGAATTACATATTGTCTGGTGATTAATCACTATGCTTTAATTATGTTCAATTTGTAACAATGAAAGTACATCCTGCATATCAGCTATTTACATGATGATTCATAACAGTAGCAAAATTACAGTTATGAAGTATCAAGGAAAAGAATCTTATTTTGGGGGGGCCCCCACCACATGAGGAACTGTATATTAAAGGGTATTAGGAAGGTGGAGAACCACTGAGCTGGAGGGACTGCGGATATGTACAGAACCAAGCTGGTGGCCATCGATGCTGACTCCTAGGGAGCCTATCGGGCAGGGTAGAACTGCCCCTGTGGGTTTCCAAGGCTGTGGGCCGGAGTAGAAAACCCCGTCTTTCTCCCGTGAAAGCCGCTGGTGGTTTCGAACTGCTGACCTGGTAGTTAGCAGTCCATACATCACAAGGGCTCCCGAGAGCCAAGGAATCCTAAGAAAACCCAGTGCCATCGAGTGGATTCCGACTCATAACGACCTGATACAGAGTTTGGGGAGGCGTCCATCTTAACCGGAGCAGACAGTGTCGGGAGAGCTCACTTGTGCCCTTCACTGGGATTCCGTTTGGGGAGGATGCGGCCGAATTTAGTCTGGCAGAAGTCCAGACTGGGTCGCTGTCCACCATATCCCCGCCCAGCCCCTCCCAATTCGGAATATTCCCGTCGTCGAAGGAATTGGCCAGCGGTGGCAAAAGGCTGGAGAGAGCACCTCTCAGGCCTGGAGTCCATTCCGGAAAGCCTTGCGCCCAGCCCTGTCGGCACGCTGCGGTGGCCCGGACCCAACGGGGAAGCATTGGCCTTGACACCCAGCTTAGCTTGACCTCCGTGCAATCTACCAGACCGATGCCAGGGCGCTCGCTCCCTTTAGGCTTCACAGAGGCATCCTTTTGCGCCCCAGCTCTGGGGAGGGCAGTGCCCCTTGGCAGCCCTCCACCCGCCCCCTCCCTTCTCCCGTCCCACTGGAGACGATTTTGCTCATCTCCCCCATCTTTCTCGTTCTTTTCTGCAGGTAAGGGGAAAAGATCAGCCGGCAGGAGAATGGGGCTGGGGGCCCACTAGGGAGAAAAGTCCCTCCTCTCTCCCCACCCCGCAACCCTCTGTGCCTGCAAAAAGGGACATTGGTTATCCAGGGGAGAGCGCAAGCAAGAGAGCACTAATCGCCGAACCAGGAGACAAACACGATTACCAGCTCCGAGCCTTGAGTCAGAAAGTCTCATAGACTTGAAGATGTTAATCCCCAGCATAATCCTTCCTTTGGCGTGTAGGAATAGTGCAGCCACAAGAGTTGTTTTGTTATTTATATTGGCGTTTAATAAAACTCAGCCAGTGGTGAATGGGCAGCCCACTCTCCAATGGTAATTAATTCCCTATTTCAGTGACCCGATTGTCCTGGGACAGAGAGGTGGGTCCGTCCCAGTGCCCCGTCCCCCTTTGTGCGGATACAGGGCCCTCGTGCTTCAACAGCTATGGAAACTCATTCTTTTGATGTCATTCAATGAGTTTTCCTTGGGCATCTTCTAAACTTCAAGGACCCCTTTCTTTCTCCGTTTCATGAAAAGTGATGCGAGCCTGACCACCTCTGTAGACTGGAATGATTTGGTGAAAGGACCCTTTGGGGTTTGTGCAAGGAGTTAGAGAGAAAGGAAATTTGGCAGCCTGCGCTCTTACACGGACAGTCACGAACCCAGAAAACACAAAACTTTATTCACGAGCTACGGATAAAAAGATCTGGGAAGCTGGTTTGCCCTCCTCTCTCCAGTAAGGGGAAGGAGGAAAAATGCAAAACTAATCAATCCACTGATTTCTGTTCTGGAAATACATGGATTGTTTGTCCTTGCTGATAGAACCAGTCTGCACCTTTGGGGAGCGGGGCGTCGCTTTAGCACTTTCACTCACCTTGCATATTTCATCCAGGTGCCAAGCTCTGGGAACACCGCGA